CGCACGCGGGAGCGGCCGTGCGGCGCGTGGCGGCCCCTGGCGGCTGGAGGGGGCGCTGCAGCCTGCGGGCCGGGAGGCGGAGTCCGGGCTGGGGGCGGGGCCGGGGCGGGGCCACTGCCCGAATCTTCCTTTCTTGTGTCGCTCTCCCTCCTCTCTCACCTCTCCTCCGTTCTCTGTCCCTCTCCTGTCTCTTTCCCTCCCTCCAAATCTGTTTCTCTGTCTTTTTCTTTCCCTCGCTGCATATTTTCCTTCCTTTCTCTCTTGCCTCCTGTCTCTTTCCTTCTTCCTCTCCCTTTCCCTTTTCTCTGTCCCTCCACTCTTTCTTCCTCTGCCTTTTCTTTTCATCGCCCTTCCTCTTCCCCTCCTACCCCACTTCCCCTAATTTCTGTCCCCATTGAACAGTATTTATGGAGCCCTGTACTGGATGCCAGATCCAGCACAGCCAGCTCACTGGTAACGGAGAGATTCTTGTTAGGTTTGATGGAGCAATTGAGTTGATACCCTTCCCCTGGGAACTGGCTTTTCAGGTCATTTCACTATGGACATTCCCTTTGCTGAAGACCACTTTTCACTTGTGATGACCACTTTTCACTTGTGGTGACCACATTCCATTCTCTCCCCTCCCGGTCTGCATAAAAAAGTCTCCGCCCAGAAAAAAATCCCGCCAAAAGTCCTTTAAAAGCCGCTGACTCCCCTCACTGGGTGCTGGAGCCATCCAGGCTCAGCCACCTGGTGTGCGGATGATCTCTGGCCTGTGCGTTCCTCCTTTGGCGACCTAGCAATTCTAATAGTAAAAATCGCAGGTGCTGATATGGAAAGGCCTTCAAGTATGGGGTGAAGCTTGGTTTCCACCATTGGCTTTAACCCTTTTTGCTCTAAGGCAGTGGTTCTCAACCTTCTGGCCCTTTAAATACAGTTCCTCATGTTGTGACCCAACCATAAAATTATTTTCGTTGCTACTTCATCACTGTAATGTTGCTACTGTGATGAATCGTAATGTAAATATCTGATATGCAGGATGGTCTAAGGCGACCCCTGTGAAAGGGTCGTTCGACTGCCAAAGGGGTCGGGACCCACAGGTTGAGAACCGCTGCTCTAAGGAGAACCGCTATGCCCACTGCCCTGTGGGTCTGGCCTCCGAGGTGGCATGCCTTGCTCCAGGCCGAACCCATGAGTGTACCTGTCTGTTCCCCCAGGGCAGGGTCTGGTCTTGTTCCCTTGGCATCCATAGCCCGCACAGTGACCCCTGCTGTGCCCCTGGCGCTAGCTTTCTCTCTGTGCCTTTTTCTTCCCTCCCACGACCCTGGGATGGAGGAAGAGGGTCTGGTTAACAGTCACACTGCAGAGGGAGTAATTCCCTCCCCCTCCACAGGTCCTGTATAGCGCCCCCCCTCCCCCCCACAGCCCGGGGAAAATGAGTAAGAGCAGGAAGTGGAAAACACTTCGCAGAAAAAGTTCCCGGGAGATAGAAACCCTACCTGGTCTCACGTTCTATTCCCAGCTCCAGGACCCTGTCCGGCACATCACAGGCACACAGCGTGCTAGCTGAACCGAACCTCGCTGTGTGGGTCTGATGCTACGAGGACCCCTCCAGGTTCCTGCCTCCTGGGATTTATGTCCTAGAGACCTGCTCCTACCAACAGAACATGGCAAAGGTGAGGAGCTGTCACTTTTGGGGTTCGGTTACCCGAGAGTGAGACTTCTGTCTTGCTAGCCACCTCTGTCGCCCTCTTGGCTTGCGGCTGTGATGGTGCGGGTTCGCAAGGAACCGGGCAGCCTCCAGCCACGCTGGGCTCAGCACAGTCGCTTGGAAATACGAGTTGGGTGAAGGAATGAGTAATTGCTACTGTTTTGTTAAGGATTCCTTCTCTCCTGAGGGTCCTTTCGGTTGGGGACGGAGACAGGAAGTGACAGGTGGCCTCCTGAAGAGTCAGAGGAGGAGGAGGAGGAGGTGGAAGAGAGCTGCTGGTGCCCCCCACCCCCCTGGGGTGTATGGCGCTCCCAGGAAGTGGCCTCTGGCCGCTCTCTCAGGCCCAGGCCTCTCAGGAGAGACCCGGGGGCCGAGGCAGGGGCCGGCCAGACTCCTGACCCTGAGCCAGGCTCCCAGCCCGCTGCGCCTGCGGACCTCAGCGCCCCAGTGGAGGGGCTCGCAGCACCGCTGATGTGCTGGGCACCTGGCCGACCGGGCAGTTCTGGGGGAGCCCGGCGGGGACCCCTCACAGCTATCCCCTCATGGCTGACAGGAAAGAGGATTCCTGGTGACTGACCCGGTGACCCAGGCGGACTAAAGGCCGTGAACATCAGGGGCCCGAGACGCTCACCTCTGCCCTTCTGGGCTCCTCAGAGCCCCACTGGGCGAGGCACCCCCAAGGCCAGTTGTTCTTGGGCTACTTCCTTCTTCTCTTGTCTTGGTCTGAACCTTGGTTTTCCCCTCTGGGGAATGGGTAGAACCAGCCCTGCACGGCCATGTGGTTGGCACGAGGGCCAGGGAAGGGAGGAGCGGAGTGTGAAGGAGCAGAAGGGAGTGGGGGAGGGTACTCTGGGGGTGCCTGCCCTGTGTCCCGGGGGGCAGGGCGGGGAGGGGGGGGGGAGAGGTGGCATTTCCAGAGCCCAGGCCCCGGTGGCTGTAACAGGTGCCCCAGTCTGGCAGCATGGACTGGCCAACCTGGCGCCAGCATGTGCGTGCTGGGGGCCGAGACTGGCTCCCTGGGCAGCTCCGGGGATGCAGCGGCCCGAGGCGATTCGCTGTGACAGCCTGTTGACAAGGCAGCTTCCAGGGTTGCTCACAGTCGGGCGCAGGGGGAGCTGCCCCAGCCGCCTGCCTCTGCGTGAGCAAAAGGCAGATGGCGGCTGCCCCTGTGGAGGTCTGGGCTGCCTCTGCCCTCGTGGCCTCGGCGCTGCTTGCTGGAGGGCAGCGAGTCCAGCACAGTGCCCACTGCTGACAACCTCAGAAGTCGTTGGGACTCAGATTTTGCCAAGACCAAGATAAACCTGCAGTCCCCAATCCGATGGGCAAGGGAAAGCACAAGGACCTGCTTCCCTCCCTCCCTCACTCCATCAGTTTTGTCCTCCATCAGTTTTGTTGAGTGCCTACTCTTGTGCCAGGCACTGTGCTAGGCACAGGTGTTCAGATGTGGGAGAGGAATTGTAAAGAGAAAGTGAAAAGGAGTGAGCGTGTGGATGTGGGTAGGATGCACGTGAGTGCTGTGTGGTATGTGCACATGTGCATGCGTGTCCTGCTTCTTGGCAGGACTCATCTCATAGGGTCCAAGGTCAGGAGATACCGTTCAGCCTCGTCTACTGGGAAAGAAAAAGCCTGGGATCGGAGGTCTCCGCTCCTTCTCTCATCTCTCTCTCTCTCTCTCTCTCTCTCTCTCACCCTGTGTCTTTTTCCTCTCTGCCCATCTCTTTTTCCTCCTCCTCCTCCTTCCTTTGCTCTACATGGCTCAATGTGATCACCAATCCACAATCCACAGTCTACTCAACCGCCAGTACATGAGCTTGCTTTGGCCATGGCCTACGCCTTGTCCAATCAGCTGTGGCCTTGGGGGCGGGGCCTTGCAGAGGATGGCCAATGAAATATCCCCAATAGCTCTACCCGCTGCAGGTGCCAGCTCCAAGAGCCTCAGGAAGGATGGCGTCTAGGAGGGGAGATAACAAAGATGATAAGAGCCAACAGTGACTGAGCACCTCTTTAAATCAGGCGGGGGACGCACATGCCCTCTTTTTCTTTTTAATATATTTTGTTATTGATTTTTACAGAGTGGAAGGGAGCGGGATAGAGAGTTAGAAACATCGATGAGAGAGAAACATCGACCAGCTGCCTCCTGCACACCCCCTACTGGGGATGTGCCCACAACCAAGGTACATGCCCTTGACCGGAATCAAACCTGGGACCTTTCAGTCTGCAGGCTGACTCTCTATCCACTGAGCCAAACCGGTCAGGGCTTTTTATTTTTTTATTTTTTTACTTTTATTGATTTCAGAGAGGAAGGGAGAGGGAGAGAGAGAGAGAAATATCAATGATGAGAGCGAATCATTGATCTGCTGTCTCCTGCACGCCCCCTACTGGGGATCGAGCCCACAATCCAGGCATGTGCCCTTGACTGCAATCGAACCTGGGACCCTTCAGTCCGCAGGCCGATGCTCTATCCACTGAACCACACCGGCTAGGGCGCCCTCTTTTATAATGAAATGTTATCGACGTATATAACACGTGCAGAAATCTTAAGTGTAGGGCTCAAGGCGTGTATTACTTCTTTGAATTCTCACAGCAACCCCATGGTAGGGGATAGGATTCTTACCGTCGCCAATGCGCAGGTCTGAAAACGGGCTTAGCGAAGTCCACCCGCTCGTCGAAGGAGGGGACCGGGATTCGAACCCAGGCAGCGGAGCTCTAGAATCTGAGCCCATGAGCACAGCTGGGTACTGTTCATGCCGCCCAGTCAGCTTCGGGGTTGGTGCAGCCTGTGGACCCAGCAGCGACAGGGAGACAAACCCAGTGGCTTTCATCTCCCAAGTGCGTGGCATGTCCGTGGAAACGACTCCAGTCTGGCTCTGCCCTCTGTCCCCCTCCCGGCCGCGTGGTGTCTTCCTCTGCGTGTCCCCGGCCAGCCCGGCCGCAGCTGCAGGCGGCCTCCGGGAACCGAGCTGCGTTATGATGTGCAGATGGTGTTTCCGCCGGGCCCCTCGCTTTTCATGTCGGTGGCCTCCGGGATCCCGGCCAGCCCAGATGTCCCTGATCATGAGAAAGCCTCCCTCCCCTGGCAAGGCTGGCAGGAGATGCCAGGGACGGGGGCCTCGGGCCAGCGCTGGCTTGGATCCTCTGGCGAGGGGGCTGGGCCGGAGGCTCGGAGGCTCGGATGCTGTGTCATTTGTGTCCAGCCCTGCGGTGCGTCTGCAGAGCCAGGGCTATCGCTTCCGCGTCTGCAGACAGATAGAGACACTGCGCAGCGAGGTTTTCAAAGGGCCCGGGATTGATCTCTTTTTTCCATCCGTGTTGTTTTATCTGACGCGCTTGCTATCTGTGGGCACAGACGGCCTCGCCCGTCAGAGGCGGTGCCCTCCTGTGACAGGAACAATCTCACCCCGTCAGTGACAGGCCGGGCCACGTGCAGGAGCCACGTGTCTCCCCCATCAGACGGGGAATTCTACGGCCAGCGGTAAACGTGTCTTTCCCATCAGACTAAGAGTCAGCAGTATCGGGGGGAATGCGGCTCTGCCCTCTGCTGTCAGACTAGGAGTTCCTGAACTTTGCAGACCTGCCCTTGGCTCACCTGCCTGGGACGGGTGCGGACAGTGTCAGCTACAGCAGGTGCTGGAGGTACACGGGCGAGGAAGAGCAACCGGGAGATTTAGGGGCACCTGGACCCGCTGTAGAACCCGGCCCGCTGTAGAACCCGGCTTCTGGCTCAGGGCTAGCTCCTCAACAGTAGCTCCGTGATGATGGCTGAATGAATGAATGAATGATTGAGTGAATGAGTGAATGATTGAGTGAATGAATGAATGATTGAGTGAATGAATGAATGAGAAGCTCACATTCTGTTAGGGAAGGAGTGAAATTCACTTAAGTGTCTCTATGTGTTGGACATAATTGTAGGCTCCTGATGTATATTACCTTATAAGTTTCTCCCCCCCCCCAACACACACCAAATTTATTGATGGGGAACTGGGGGCTCAGAGAGAACAAAATGACATGTCCAAGGTCTCACAGCTGGTGAATAAGGGAGCAGGGATTTGCACTGAGGTCCTTTGATTTCCAGATGTTTACTCTTCCTGGAAAAGTTATCGTCATTTAATTTCAGACCTACCCAAGGCAGATGTGTCTGATGTGGCATGTGAACCAAGGGAGAAGGAAAGTTAGAAATGTTTTAAAGGAGTGACTTGGAGATGGGTTTTGCAGGATGAGTAGGAGTTCACCAGACAGAGAAGATGGGGAAGCATGGTTAGAAAAGGAGGGTTGGTGAGCAGCTGCCGTTCCCATGTGCTGCTCTGTGGCCCTGCCTCTCTGGGAGCCGGACTTCCTGCCTCCCGCGGGGAGGACGCACAGCGGGAGGCCTAATCTCATGCTGGCACATCCCTGCCGAGATGCCAGGAAGTCTCCGCTGTGGGCCTCCCACCCTGGGCCAGCTGTGCTTTTAGGAGGAAGGCAGGGTGGTGGGGGCCAGCTGTGACGAGGAGCTCCCTCTCTGGGCCCCCCGAAAGGTTCAGGGCAGCGAAGGAGGAGCTGGAACCCTGCCTGGTCCTGCAAGGGCCAGCGGGAGAGGGATGGGTGAGTGGTCCCCCGGTCTGTGACCAGTGGTCCTCCCTCTGGTTTAGGAGCAGAATGCGATTTATCCCATCCTCTGCGGGTGTGGACATCCACAGGTAGCTTTCCTGGGGGGCGGCAGGGGTTACATCCTCCCAGGGGGAGTGCGGAGTCGGCCTTCGGTGGATCCCGGTGGCTGATCCGGGTCAGACTCTGTAAGGCCACCGTTTCGCTGAAACTGGGTAGAACGGGGTTGAGCTCTTAGTTGTGCTCAGCGGGGTCTGACCGACCTCCCGGAACCTGGGGTGCTAGAAGGAAGGAGCAGAGCCTGGTAGACCTGCAGCGGTCACATCGTGTTCGTGTTGGAATCGGCAGAACCTTAAAACAAGCCGGAGGTTTTACCCAAAGCCCAGGGTGTGTCACAGATACAAGCTGAGAAGCTCGCTGGAGGGAGGAGGGGGACCCAGAGGACCACCCACTCCCTCTTGACCCCGCGGCCCTCTCAGGACTGCATGGGACCCAATTTCCCCCAGCGCCTGAATAGTGCACCCCGACTCCCAGCTTGTAGCGCGAGGACCGCCGAGTGACTGAGAGGAGCATGACTTGTGTGTCCTTGTGTCTGCAGGGGTGTGGAGGGTGGTGCCCACCAATTTCTGGACTGTAGCCCCGTGTGTCGGGGGCCTCTGTTCAGCTGGCTCTGATGGCATCTGCTCCAGGTTCTCCATCCGGGCCAGCAGCGCGCCCATGATCCAGGCTCTGGGCTCGGGCACTGCTACCCAACAGGACGAGAGGAACTCTGCTCATGGGGGTAGACTCTGCCCTTTAAAAAAATATTTTTATTGATTTCAGGGAGGAAGGGAGAGGGAGAGAGAGATAGAAGCATCAGTGATGAGAGAGAATCACTGATCGGCTGCCTCCTGCACGCCCCCTATTGGGGATGGAGCCCACAACCCAGGCCTGTGCCCTGACTGGGAATCGATCTGTGACCTCCTGGTTCATAGGTCGATGCTCAACCCCTGAGCCACTCCGGCCGGGCTCTGCCCCTTTTGCAGGAGCACAATCTGAGGTCCAGAGAGGGCTGGGCTCGGGGTCACGCGAGTGTTGGGCGGCGTTAATGGAGGACGGACTTTGGTTCTGCCCCTTCGGGATCGTCGCTCGTCCCGGGCTCAGCCAGCCAAGGGAGACCCTCCCATGGGCCCCGCAGACAGCCATCTGCCCAGGCCTTGCCCAGCCGGGAGCCGTGAGAAGCAGAGCCTGATATGGAAGCTGCCAGGGCGTTACTAATGGGCTGTCGGTTGCAATTAGGGCAGCAGGCTTTCATCTCCCCGCCGCCCCCCTTCTGCTCGGCAGCCCCGCAGCAGGCGGCTTCCCGCCCTGTCCGTCTGGTGGGTGTCAGGCGCCCCCGCTGCGGGGGGACCCCAGGCGGGAGCCGGGGGAGGCCTCTCTGCCAGCCGTCATTAGGGCCGGCGCTGCATCCAACTGTTGCGTGTCCCGGGCCCGAGTCCAGCGTCCAGCGAGCCAGCGGCCTGCAGCCCTTCCCTCAGCCCCGCCAGGCCCAGCCCCTCTGAGCCTCGGCCCGGCCGCTCCACCGCTCCACGGAGGCCTGCCTGAGATTGCCTAGGTGTTCTGGTGACTTCTGAGGGCCTCGCAGGAGAGATAACGCTCGAATCAACAAATCTGCCGCGGTGGCTTTGAAGAGACTGTTTCAATCACTTTATTTTGTCTTCATGGCAGGTTTGCCAGATGGCGTGGGTCTTGCTGAGGTCCGGGACCGAGGGGGCGCGCATGGAACTGGTGCGGCTTCAAAGCTCCTTTTTAATCTTTAGCAACATCACAGCGGCTGGGAAACTGCCTCGCGCTCTCAAGTCTCCCCCACAAAAGAGGCGCGGCCGCGGCTCTAATGAAAGCCAGATAAAGGGATGGCTGGGATCAGGAACAGAGGGAAAAGAGCAGTCGTTAGTCTTTCTTGTAGCTGTTTCAAAAGAAATTCTAAGACAAATTATGGCTTTGGGTGTTTTTCCAAAGGGACCGGAGCCGGGGGAGGGCGCGTTGACCCCGCGGCACGGTCCCCCGGGCATGAAAGGCAGAGGAGACGAGAAAAGGCCGGCACACAACAATCACCTGCCCGCGAGCGCGCGTGGGGATGAAAGCCTCGCTGGCATAATTGCGGGCGAGGGCGAGGAGTGGGCGGGCGGGCGGCCTTACCTTGCCGCCAGCGCTATTAATGCTGAGGTGCCCTCCTCCTTCCCCTCGGGAAGGGCAAGGGCGCCTGGGCCTTTCGGGCCTGGGAGGGGCCGCTGCGCCGCGCCCGGCTGACCTTAGGTGCGGGCCGTGGCCACGTGGTGCGGTGCGTGGCCGCCTCGCGTGAGGGCCCAAGGTGGCTGCCAACGCCCGCCATCCCCGCGAAGGAGGCGCTGTGCCTGGGTCCCCTTCCCGTCCCACTCGCCTCCTTTAAGGTTTGAAGGTCTGTCTCTTGGAAGCTGGGGAGGGGTTTACCGACCGGCCATTCCACCCCCGTGCCCCCGTGTACCCCCCGCCCCCCCCCCCCCCCCCGCACATGCTCTTGTTTTCAGAGATCAGCCCTATGCTGGGGGAATCAGAGGGGTGCGGAGCCTACAGCTCGTTCCGTGGGCCCACTGGTCAGGGCTCTGGTTGCCCGAGGAAGGCACACGGGGGCTGGACCCCCCACTCCCCCCAGCACAGCGCCTGGGTGCAACATCACAGATAAGAAACAGCGATGCCCTCGCCAGGCCGGGCCCAGTCTGGGCGCCCCATCACTTCAGCCTCGTTGTCCGCCCACAGCAGGTCACAGGGCTCCGACCAGGTCCAAGGGCTGCCCTCCTCGGCTTTGCAGCTTCAGTGAGAAAAACTCGCTCCCGGTGGTGAAGGGTTAGATGTGCAGGAGCGGGAGCAGGGGGACCACTGAGACCCCTTCGCACCTCCCCGAGGGAGGCAGGTGGCACCGCCAGCGGGAGTAGAGAGGGTGCTGGTGAGTGTAAGCAGTGGGTGTCCTCGGAGGGTGTGGGGAGGGTCGGGGACAGATGGGGCTGTGCAGGGTGTGCGTGTGTGTGGCCCGGGGGTGGGGGGTGGGGAAGGGGAGGCGGTAGGACGGAGGGCCAGCAGCAGAGGACAAGCCTGGAACAGGGTCTGCCATCTCTTGTGAGTGAGCTGACTGCTCTTGGTCTCCAGACTCCGGGGAGCTGTGTGAATTTTTGTTTCCCCAGGAGCCGACCCTGAGTAAGGGCGTGTGTACAAGTTCCTTTGTTTGGGAGGTGATGCCAAGACACACCGAGGAGGGAGTCGGACAATGAGCAGTGATGTGAAGGTGAACTGGTTTTCTGAAATAAATAAATAAATAAGTGAAATCCCTGGGTTGTAGCGTCTGCCGATTGCCCTGGTGTAAATGCTCGCACCGTGGCTGACTTCCAGCTCCCGGCATGCCCCAGCCGGGTGGAGAGCTGGACAGGGATGTGCGGGCCGGGCTCCCGTGAGCCGGTGTGAGCCGTGGGACTGCAAGCTGCACAGGAGGAAGGCGCTGGCAAAACGTGCAAAATCAAGCCAGTGTCACCGTGAGCCACCAGAGCCCAACGCCGCTGGGGACGGCTGGGAGTGTGTGGAACAGATGCCCCTGAGCCACCCCTTCGAGGCAGAGGGCTCAGGCACCTGCCCACCAACGCCCCGACCATCATTGGCTCAGGCTGCCCCCCAGGGCCGGGGAGGGGGGGGGAGGAACTCACTGGCCTTCTGGTCAGGGCTCTGGGTGGCAGAGGAAGACACACGGGCTGGACGTTGCAAGTTGGGCCCACACACGTGAAAATAGTAGGTCTGCTGAGGTGTTCGTGGGTGTATCCGCCTGGGGAGGGGTGAGGGGGTGTCAGTCCAGAGAACTCGGCTCCTGGCTCTCCCCCGGGACAGACATACTGCTCGCAGCCTCAGAGTTCCCCACGACTTCGTACTCGGGTCTTTCACGGGAAGAGAGGGGAAGAGGGATGAGAGGCGGAGGCGGGAGAAAGTACCCGAGGCCCAGAAGCCAGCAGCCTCTCCCACTGCCCGCACCTCGCACGGAAGTAGGTCACACGGAGGAACTCCGCGTCCCCGTCAAAGTTTCAGGCAGAAACAATAACTTGGTTTTGACCTTGCTCTTCAGAAAGCAAGTCGCTGCTGAGCTGCAACATCAAAAAGAATAAATAATTGTTTTCCTTTCTTGTTGTGATGATAGGATCATCCGAGCGGTTAGTGGGAAGCAGGCGGCTTTGATTCCACTCTGGCTCCCCAGTGCTCCGGCCTCTGTGTGTCAGCGGGCTCCTGTTTCACCCCAGGACAGCAGAATCCCTTGATTAAATTCATATTTGTTTTAATCTCTCCCTGTGTCTGATCTCAGGCTCAAAGATGGTCAGGAAGAAAGCCGGCCGCCCCGCTGTGGCCACGGGGAGGGCCCGTGTCAGGCCTCAAGCTGTTCGTTCTGCCCGGCGCGATAAGGCAGCCGGCCCGCGGTGGCCCGTCCTGCCCACTGTGCCAGCCCCCGAGCCCGCATGCCGGAGGCGGCGGCCGGGGCGGCCCTCAGAGCCGCTGGGCCGGGGAGTGGGGACCAGCCACCGCCGGCTGCAGCCTCCGACGGGAGCCGTGTGGGACTTGAACAGCTAGAATTCTCTTTAAAAATGGAAAAGCTGAAGAAATTATGGATCTTAGGTGCTCGGGGTGGAGTGTATCCGCCCGCTCGGCTAATACAGGCGACTCTCTTTGTTCTCCGTCTCCCCCCAGCTCACCCCTCCCCGCTTCCACCAGCACGGAGGCCCCTTCCAATGTGCCCACGTGTTGGGTTAAATACCTAATGTTGCCGTCTACACGGTAGCAACAATCTCCACAACAGCCCTGTGATGTAGGTGCACTTAACACCACCCCATTTTCCAGAGGAGGAAACTGAGGCACAGAGAGGGGACGTGACTTGGCCAAGGAGACGCAGCCGGTAAGTGGCAGCGCTGATACCAAACCCCATGGAGTCTGGCTTCAGCGTCTCTTTTTCTTTTTCATTTTTAAAATATTTTTATTGATTTCAGAGAGGAAGAGCAAGGAGAGAGAGAGAGAAACATCCATGATGAGAGAGAATCATGGATCGGCTGCCTCCTGCACGCCCCACACTGGGGATCGAACCCATAACCCGGGGCATGTGCCCTGACTGGGAATCGCACCATGGTTCATAGGTCCACGCTCAACCACTTGGCTATGCCGGCCGGGCTCAGAGCCTCTTTCTTACTCCTTATCTAACTGTCTGCTCGCCCAGGCCTGTGCTCCCGTCTCTGGGCCACCACTTCGCCTCCCCTGGGCCCCCCAGGAAGCCACGCCCTCGCGGTCCTCTCAGGCTGCTGCCCTCTGTGTGTCATGGTCCCCAGGCCACTGGTGCAGGTCTGGGCCATACTCCTGGCCTCCCTTGGGTGGGGCTGCCCCCATCCCCGCAGGAAGTGGGTGTGTGAATGTGTGTGTGTGTGCGCGTGTGTACATGAGCGTGTGTGAATGTGTGTGTGTGTGAGAGAGAGAGAGAGAGAGAGACAGAGAGAGAGAGAGAAAGAGAGACGGAATTCCTCCTTTGTAGGGCTTGGCACCTGCCAAACCCCCTTAGCTTGAACGTGACCTGAATATGCGCGGCCCTGGGTCCGTAAATTAACTGGCACAAATAGGAGGGCCCGGAAGCTGCTGCAGGACCGGACCTGCCCTCCCCTCCGCCAGGTCCTCTTAGTAAGTTCACTCCTTGTGTGATTTTTATTTTTTTAATCCTCACCGGAGGCTATTTTTCCACTGATGCTTAGAGAGAATGGGAGGGGGAGACACAGAGAGAGAGAAACATCGACATGAGAGAGACACACGCATCGACTGGTTGCCTCCCATACTCGCCCAGACTGGGGAGGAGCCTGCAACCGAGGTACGTGCCCTTGACCGGAATCGAACCTGGGACCCTTCAGTCCGCAGGCCGGCGCTCTATCCACTGGGCCAAACCAGCGAGGGTGAGTCATTTTTTTCATGATAGTGACTTTGCTGCCTGAAACAGAGACTGGCCACATGACGAAGGGCTCGGCACTCCCGACCACGATTTGTCCAACTGAAGTCACGGCACCGTCCACGGAGGATCACCCCCGGGGGGCCACGGCCACGCCCTGACGCCTGAAACGCCGGCTCAGAAATGATTTGGGTAACGGCGTCTCACCTCTTTTATTTCACATTCCGATCTTAAGATAACATGTAAAATCTCAACGTGGTTTTCAGGAATGGTCGGTAAAAGAAATCGTGCGTGACCCTGCCACCCTCGGAAGTGCAGTTTTTCTTTATGAAAACGACTTACGTCCAAAGTCAGTAGCAGTAACAGCGTGAGCGGCGTCGCTGAAGATATAACGCAAGCAGTGCTGCCTGGAAGGGCATTGCAAGTTTGAAATGCAAAACTAGGTTGCCGACAGGAGTCCTTGAAGTACGTTTTAGAACGTTGTAAAAAAAAAATCCCCACTGGGTGCAACCAGAGTTAGCAATGAAAATGTTCATTTAGACTAAATTCGTTTGGGGCATTTCACTTAGCATCAGAGACAAATTTAAAAATTTATGGCAGCACGGTAAAGTCATTGGGCAGCCCAAATGGCCGGGAAATGATCTGAAATGTAAAAAGTAAGACAAGCTTGGCCGGCGTGGCTCAGGGGTTGAGAATCGACTGGTGAACCAGGAAGTCAAGGTTCGATTCCTGGTCAGGGCACATGCCTGGATTTCAAGTTGGATCCCCAGTGTGGGGCGTGCAGGAGGCAGCGATCGATGATTTTCTCTCATCATTGATGTTTCTATCTCTCTCTCCTTCTCCCTTCTTCTCTGAAATCAGTAAAAATATTTTAAAAAATAAAATAAAAAGTAAGACAAGATCGAGGGGATTGTTCTCTGCTAAAAGGGAGACAGGGGGCAGAACAGCCAAAAGCAAGGTGTGGTCTGTTACTGGGCCCTGGTTTAAGCATCTTTGAAAGAGATTTTAACCCTGACCGGTTGGCCCAGTGGGTTGGGCGTCCTCTTTTGCACCGAGCAGTCTCTGGTTTGATTCTGGGTTGGGGCACACGCCGGGATTGTGGGCTTGATCCCTGGTAGGGAGCGAGCAGGAGGCAGCCAGTGGATGTTTCTCTCTCCCTCTCCCTTCCTCTCTCTTTAAAAATTAATTAAAAGAAAAGATTTTTAGAACATTTTCAGAGGATTTAAATGCGAACTAATTATTCGATGCTATTGGGAGACGAGTGTTGATTTTGTTAGAGAAGATAACGGTATGATGGAAAAATACCCATGCTAGTTTTTGACAAATGCATGCTGGAGCATTACTGTCCTGAGGTTCACTTACAAATGGTTTAGCAAAAGTTAAAAAAAATAAAATGCATATATAGATGAAATAAATGTCAAATCTCGATTTTCATTTTTCTCGCCTATTTCTTAGTATACGTCAACTATGTCTTTAAAAAACTTAAAGCTATTCCAGTGCCTGGGAACACCTTTCAATCTCTGCAGAATCTGGTCACACACGGCAAAAATAGAGGGCGGTGACTGAGGTAGAAAAAGCAGTGGGACGGCTATAAACTGCTGCCTTTACGGTCCCCGCGCTACAGTAACCTGCGGGAGCGGTGGGTGGTGGGGTCTGGGTGTGGCCGGTGGTGACTTTACCACAGCGTGTGAGACCCCCGTGCTGGTGGCTGCCAGCTCCCGTGGGGGCCATTGCCGGGTTTATGGTCGGGCTTACGGAATCCATTCAGGCCTTTGGCACCTGCACAAGAAGTACACGCATGCCCTCGAAAGGTGAGTGTGCCCTCGGAAAAAAAAACCACAATTTTTTTAAACCAAACAACCTACCAGGCCTCTAAATTCCATGTGGAATCTACAATTCGTGTCTCACCTCTCCCCCATCCTCCTGATTTGCTGTCACCTCCCCTGAGGCTGAGGCCGATTGTAGCTTTCCCTTTGATTCCGGAGCTGGGACGCTTGACCTTGGCTGCTAAGAAAGCCCTGGATGACCTTGAACAAGTTTCAGTTTCTCATCAGTAAATAGAGAATGATAACATCTGTTTCTCAGGTGTGTGTGTAATACACAAAACAAACTAACCATTACAAAGGATGTATTTATTTTTTAATATACATACAGCAGTATGTATTTTTGAAAAAATATTTTTATTGATTTCAGAGAGGAAGGGATCCCGTGACCAGAATCGAACCTGGTACCCTTTAGTCCGCAGGCCGACGCTCTAGCCACTGAGCCTAACTGGCTAGGGCTCAGCAGTATTTAGAACCTTCACAATGTTATACTGCAGAGCTTTCTCGTCTTTCTGAGTGGAAATTCCATATTCCTTACACAAAATCTCGCCGTT